AGGCGTAAAGTTCAAGTGAGACCATACAAACCATAAAACAAAGTGATTTTCAAGAAAGAGAGAAAAAATCTGCACTTGAATTCTTGTCTTCAATAGAAACTGCTTTATCACAATTCATAAGTATTGGTTTTTTTTTCCTAGGAATCATTGTACAGAATTTTTCCTAGTTAAAATATTTTTTAAAAAACTGAATGTGGAGCTGGGAAGGTGGCTCAGTGGTAGAGCACTTGCCTTGCATGCCTGAAGCCCTGGGTTCGATTCCTCAGCACCACATAAGCAAAAAGAAAAAAGCTGGAAGTGGCACTGTGGCTCAAGTGGTAGAGTGCTAGCCTTGAGCTGAAGAGCTGAGGGACAGCGTCCAGGCCCAGAGTTCAGGCCCCATGACCAGACCCAAAAAAAAAAAAAACTGAATGTGGTGGTGCATCTCTGTAATATCAGAGGTCTGGAGACAAGCAGAAGGATCGTGAGTTTGAGGCCAGGCTAGGTTACATAAAGAGATCCTGACTTAAAGATAGATGGATGCATACATATATACATACAGACATACATACAGACATACATACAGACATACTAAATGAAGTGTTGTAATAAATTAATGAATAATCTCTCCATTGTATCCATTTATTAATGAATAATACTTTATCCATTAAAGTGTCATCACTGGAGATAACACAATGATAAATGGCCATGTTTAAGAGCATCCTAGTTAGACAGCAGCTCCTATCAAGGCTGATGTGGAAGAAATACACCCACCAGCATCTCTCCTATAGCAGGATGAGAGCAGGCAAGCAGGTTTCCCCATTATCTGAAAGGAAACCAAGGACCCAAGGGCACAGCTGGTGAATAGCCTGGCTACAGTCCAGTCAGTGTCCTCCCCTCTGGTACCACCCTAGCCAGACATGACTTAGGACACACTCAGAGGTCTAGAGAAAAAGTCATGTGTAAAAGCCACCACTGATAGGTTTCATAGTCAGAAATGGAGAACATTGAAAGGCATAGGTCAGACTCTGTATATCTTGTGGCATTAATCATCACATCCAAATCCCAGATGGTTATTTCAGCAATGTGATGGTCATTGGTCCCTGAGTGGACCAATGAAATGGAAGTGAATTAACTTAAACCCATTACCACTTCTGGAAAAAGAAACTCAAAATACATTCTCTGTTCAGAGAGGCTCGATACCCCTATCTATATATAGAAAAAGCATAGTTTCCTGCTGACTAAAGTCCAACAACAAAACAAAAAGCTCTAATGTTGTTCTTCCATCTTTGAAGGCTAATCCCAGGCCATGTTAAAACACAGAATGTGTGCTTACTTCCTTAAAATGAAGCTGATTAACTACTTTCTTGGGCTTCAGTGGTTATTTCTGTCATTTTTCAGCCTCAGGCGCTGTAATTTGTAACATAATTTCTCACACGTTCTGGGTCTCTAAGAGGAAAATGGCTGATTGTTCTCTCTCTTCTTTGAAAAATCTCTTCATAACTCATGCAGACGAAGTTACAGAAGCTCTCCCTATTGAAGTTTAATTTCATTTACAGTGTCATATTTGCAGATAATAAATTTCCTGGCCCTTTGGGAAGATGAATCTCTTTCTCTCTCTTTTCATTTTAAGAGTCAATGCATTTGAAATCAGATGCCAAAAAGCAGTATCATTTTATTTCTTTAGGAATTATGGTTAATGGTTCCCAAGTATTTTAAGGAAGATTAAAGATGTGAAAGACATAGTAATTTTTAATTTCACAACAGGTTCCTGATTCCCTACAAGAGTTTCCAAGATGTTGGAAACAAGTAATTCCCCACAGATGGATGGGGGGGGGGTCCACAGCATTCTCCTCCCCATCAGCCAGTTACCAAGTGATGGAGAGATACTCTCTTCAAAGGAGACCCACTGATGGAATAGCCCTAACTACTTATCAGTGTTTCTGCATTCATTTCTCCATGAGTTATTCAAAATAAAGTTTGTGCCTTACCCTGACCCAAAAATGAATAGGAAAGATCATCCAGTTTCTTCATCCTTAGAGTCTATAGGATTTGGGGAAGCATGTGACCATTTAAATAGTAGGAAAATGAGCATCACTGTGCTGTCAGGGTGCACGTTTGTTTGATTTTGGAGATGGGGTCTTAAGATATAGAACAGATTAGGCCTTGAACTTGCTATTCTGCTGCTTTGGGCTCCCCAGTGCTGGAATCTTGGGTGTGAACCACCATGCTTGCTTTCCACTGTGTTCTTAATCTATATGTTTCCTATCTGATTGAATTAGAATTTCTGAAAAGAGAGTTGGTTTCCAAAAAGGAAACTTTCGTAAGTGTCAGCCCTAAGAGAGACAAGACGAAGGGGAGACAATGAAGCTTGTTCTTTTCCAGCGTGTCCACAGAGACATGAGACAATGAAGCTTGTTCTTTCCCAGCGTGTCCACAGAGACATGAGAGAGTTTTGTTCAAGCCCCACTCACCAAGATAGGGCTAGCAGTTAACTCTCAAGCTTTGCCAAGTGCTCCTGAGTTGAATGAGGTTTTATGTTTTTATTTTTTGGTGTATAGCAGTCCTATATTCAATAATGCCTGTCCCCTTCTAGCTGTATGATCTTGAACATATGTCTTGAGATTTTCCCCCCCCTAAAGTGGCGAGATCATGATATCATGAGACTGACATGATACCCAGGACCATCTTGTTCCCCTAGGGACAGTTTGCAATGTCTGGAAATACTTTTGACTTGTCACTATTGGTGAAAATGCTACTGGAACCCAGTAAGTAGAGGACAGAAGCCATGGTAAATGTGCCACCGTCACACAGGGCAACCTTCCAAAGGAAAGAATTGTCTGGCGTGGAATGTCAATCATGCCGATGTTACAGAAAGCATTTAACTAGAATGCAATATCTCTATTATTGATGGTCTCATTATCTAGGCCAACGAGATGCCAACAAGTTTGAAGCCCTCCAAACACTGCAGTATACCTCTAGATGTCCCCTTAAAATTAAACAATAGTACCTTAATACCCTGTAGCCAGACACTAATGGCTCACACCTATAATCCTAGTGACTCACGAAGCTGAAATCTCAGGATCATGGTTCAAACTATGATAACTAAACCACGGAGAAAGCAGAAGGCAGGGGTGAGACCAAAGGGGAACTATGGAATTACATGTTTGTTTCTTCCATCCTTACTTCCTGCAATACCCAAGGTAGACATTCCAGCATGGAATGCAATAACTGTTGTTGCTGGATAGCAACATCTTACAGGGCAGAGCAGCAAGTCTCCAGTTAATACACCTTAGAGTAAAATACTGTGTCTGTCACCCTGGAAACTAGCATGTCCTCTACCTTCTTGATCCCATTGTCATCTTTATGAAATTAGCTTGGAAATCAGTCTCTTAATCCAGCTAATACTGTGTTTTGTAAATACATGCTTTAGCCTCATTCAGAAGTTAAAGGTTTGTTGTGATTAAGTTGATTTAGTGCATTACCTTGAACATCATAGTTTATATTGTGTTAACTAGATTTCTCATTTGTGTCACTGAAGAGTTATGTGCAAAGTTCAAAGCAGAGAGGCTGGAAACAGTTCTTTGGAAACAATGAAAGGAAGAAAGTTAACTGAATTTAAATGAGACATGGCAATAATTCAAAGCTTAAGTGAAAGCTTTCAAGAAAACTAATGATTTGTGTGTATCATAAGATTTCTTTTGAATAAAATATTTGAAGGAAGAAGGTTGTTCTCTGGTATTACCTTACAGCCCATTTCTTTATTTTGTCTTTCTTTAGAATGGCAAAATACATCCACAGGAGTTTACTGTGTTTAAAAATTCTTTAAGTGAAGGATTAAAATTGTGCACATAGTGAATCTGAAAACGAATTAAAATGTCATCCAGGCTCAAGATGAAGCTCAGTGACAGAGCTCGTGGCTGACATGCATGAGGTCTGGGTTCGATCTTTATTAAGGAAAAACAGTAACTATATATTCTGATTCCACGGTTCTCTTTATTCTTGCTGGGCTTCCTGCATTAAAAGGATTCAAAAGTGCAGAGAGACACTATCAAGAAAACTATTTTCTTTCTTTCAGATGTTGTGCATTTCCTAATTTTCTAGCCGCAACAGTTGGATAGCTTTTTTTCTTTAATTAAAAAATGTAAGCTAGACAAGAAATGTACTCACTACCTTACTTATGTAACTGTAACAGCTCTGTACATCACCTTGACAATAAAATTCGAATTAAAAAAGTATTCAGAGTTGACACTAGGAATATCATCATTACTTCTAGAAAAACTATCTTGCGAAAGCGATAGGCTGACCTTACCTGTAGCTATCTTCAGAGGCCTGACTCTATCCTTGGCAGACAGCTTTCTCTAGGTCATCTTAGTCCTTCCTGCCTTGATGTCTGTGCACGGGTCTCTAGCCTTCTGTTCATCCTGGCAACTCCATCTGACAAATTTCAGCTATTGCGACATTTCAATCCATCTTTCCCACATTCAGTCCCTGCCAGTCACTCTGCATAGCTTTGGAGAACTAGAACCACATTTATTAACTCTCTCCTGGTTCTCTGGCTTCATCTCCAACTTTGCCCCTACTATGAGACATGAGAGTCACAAGTAAAACTTTTCTTTGGTCCCTTGGAGATGTTGATCTTATTCAGAAATATTGTGAGACTTGGGTTCCTTTTTTAAAAAAAATTGTTTAATTATGGTAAATACACATAAAAGTGCCATGCTAGCCTTTTGAAAGTGTCCCATTCAGTGGCATTAGCCATGTCCACATTGCTGTATAGCCACCTCTGCCATGCATCCACAGGTAATTAGAATCCTTCTGTCCTATTCCATGTCACTGCCACCATCAGGAAACCACTGTCCTGAAAGAATGAGCTACAATGAGCTACACAGCAAGAAATGGGTCCATGCCATTTGGTGGGCCCTGCCACTTAGGATTGGGCAACCGAATTGTACAAAGTTCCCAGCCATGTAGATGGCATGTTAGCTAAAATGAGTTTCCTCTTTCTTCTCTTTAAACAGTTCTGAGCAGCGAGTCCCCTGTTCCACTTCTTACCACAGCTCTGGTTTGCACTCAAGTGACGGTGTCACAAAAGCAGGACCCCTGGGCCTTCCAGAAATAAGACAAGTGCCAACTGTTGTGATTGAATGTGATGACAATAAAGAAAATGTGCCTCATGAGTCGGACTATGAAGACTCTTCTTGCCTATACACAAGAGAAGAGGAGGAAGAGGAAGAGGATGAAGATGATGACAGCTCTCTGTACACCAGTACGTGCATCCAACTCTCCATGGTGGGAGGGCGGGAAGAGGGGTGTGGAGCATGGTGTTGTAGAAAGTGAGCTGACCCAGATGCCCAGGTTCTGGGCTCTCATAAGTCTTGTGTTACTGGCCCTGGGTTAATGAGCAGCTCAGCTTCAGCAGTAATAGGAGAGGGTAAACGTCTCCTAAATGCTTTCATAGCTGTAAAAATTGCAACACCATCCTACCGTGACTCCTTTGTTGTTTTGGGGGAGATGCAACCCTTCTTTTTATTGCATAGTTGCAGAGTTGAAGGGACTTGCAAAAAAATCTGTTCCCCTTTAGAAAATATACAGAAATATTCATCATTGTGTATATAACAGATCCCTATTAAGCAAACCTTATCAACTTTACAAGGTGTGAATGTAAATCTGTCATTTAAGACCTTTAAATAGATTAAGAGACAAGATGTGAAGAAAGCCAAGTTCAAAAGCTAGCAATCTGGCCCTGAATAATAAATAAACATTACTGATATGAGTACAGCCTGATAGTTGGCCAGTGTGTAACAATTGAATTAATAATAACAGCCCTCGTTTATTGAACATGTACTGTGTGCCCAGCAAAGTACTGTGTTGTCTTACGCATATCTTACAACTATCCTGAAGTGTAGATATTATTTATTCCAATTTATAGATAAGAACAGAAAACAGAGGAGAGGGAACTGGCTCAAAGCCTTGCATGTGCCAAGAGGCAGTTCTGGGATTTGATTCCAAAGCCAATAAAACCTATGCAGGATGAAAGAAAAGAAAGCATTGCTAAGTAAAGATCCAAAGGAATCCTTGAACCTGCTGCTGGCTAGTATCCTCCTCTCGCTCTCTGCTTACTAGGCTTCAGAGAGCTAAAATGACCAAAGTGATGTAGTGGAGAGACTCAGAGAGAGACAGCAACAAGATCACTCTTGGTGGTGGGGCCTGTGCTGGGTATTTTAAGCTGCTTAGCAACCTCCTTGGCTTCTCTCCATTAGATGCCAGTAGCTACTTCTCTACTGCAGTCTCGGTTTTATCAACCAAAAATGCCTTTAAATTTTTTTTTCAGCTGCTTTCTGGGGGCAAAAGCAATGCCAGCTTTTATCGATATATACGAACCTAGGTTGTATGTTAAAAACTTAAAAAAAAATCCTTACCTCCACTCCCATCCCAGCCTACCTCACCTCATCTTTTATACACACCCTGCTTCTCCCTCTCCCCCTCCCCTACCCAGCTCCAGAATAGCTCTCTTGGGAGTTCCTACCTTGCAGCAGGTGTAGATTCCCACCAACATCCTGCTGTGGGAGTCTCTCCTCTCCTCCAGCTCCTCCTAAGTGAAGCCTTCCCTATCTATGAAGGCCTATGTCCTCTTCTCACCTCTACAGTGGGTAGCATTCCACAGCTAGTTTTGCCCTTTGTAATGTTGGCTACATGCTGGGATTTTTCCAGAAGGAGAGACCTAATCACATGCTCCCCATGTCTCCCCGACATGCCCTGTACAGTGTTACATACATATAAAGTATAGAGATGGCTGGGATTCTACCAAGGGAGGCCTGATCAAAGTCTTTTGGGGTCTTTTGTCTTGCCTTTTACCCTATAATCCACAGTTGACTGGATGGGAGCCCACACGGGTATTTGTCTGTGTCAATGGATTCACTTCTCTCTCCTGCAGGCTCCCTGGCCATGAAGGTCTGCAGGAAGGACTCCTTAGCCATCAAACTCAGCAACAGGCCCTCCAAGCGAGAGCTAGAAGAAAAGAACATTCTCCCCAGGCAGACGGATGAGGAGAGGCTGGAGCTAAGGCAGCAGATTGGCACCAAGCTCACCAGGTAGGACAGCAGCAGCCTTTGCCATCCTAGAGCGAGACCTAGCTCTCCAGATTGTAGCAAACTTATGTGATCTCCATCCCAGCTCATCCTTGGTGTCTCTGAACAATGTAACCACATAGACCAATTGAAAATACCTGCCAGGGTTGTTTTATAGACTGGTCATGTCCATGGGTTTGTTTTCATAGATCCTCTTCTTCACTCAGCCAAGTCTTAAAATTTTCAGTTGAGTCAAGGTTTTTTAGACAGGGAACAAAAAGGCAGATTTCAAGGGAGATGAATCACCTATTTTTTTATTGTAAAGATACTATACAGAGGGTTACAGTTACATGTACACTTCCTACTGAGCATTATTACCCCCTCCATTGTTTTCCCTTTACCATCCCTTCCCTCCCTACCTTCCCTGAGGTTCTTTTTTTTTTATTGTGATTGCATAATTTCCCAAATTTCACAGTACTGTGGAATAATGATGCTCATTTAAAGTCACAAGTTCATTCTAACTTTCCTGGAGCAAATTGTCTATCACAGTCTATAACATATAATGGTGTACAC